TTTAAGCGAATGAATAAGCGTCCAAGCCGTTTCTCATTATTTCTCTAATGCTTGACAAGAAGTGGCCAAATGTAATCAACGTCAACAAAGCTGATATGATAAGATGATTTCTCTACTCCACTAAGTGAGATGGCGACAACATCTACTTAACGGTAATGAAAAATTGTATTCTACCTGTCTAACAGCTTCCTATCAATCCCCTCAAGGTTGACCATCTCTTTAGGATCTAATATTATTGCGCGGTCTCGCCAACAATTGTGATGCGCCAGCATGGCATCCACCTAGGTGAGAACTTTCTGATTATCAACGCAGTGACTGCACGATTAAGATGTAATAATACAAGAAACTTAAGCGCATTGTTCTATTCCGAATACACCAATCTTTCTGCTAAAATACTAACCTTACTCGATTACAGGGCCATCACTTTAGAGCTCCTTGCATTGATTTCCTTCTAGTAACAGCTCTTCCCTCTTTTGTTTCATTAGGCCGTTTTAATTTAGCTCCCTAAACTTCGTTCTGGGTCATTCTAATGACGTCGGGCTTCTGCCCTCATAAGTTCATTGAGGGTGGTTAACCCAATATGCGGTATATTGTCATCACTTTCGCATACGCGAGACTTCAGGTACCCTTTGCATCAGAACTGCTACATGATCGATTAGGGTAATTTATTCCAATCAGCTCAACCGCGAAAATACACAGACAGTGGTTTCTTGCTCAAGGTTGCGAATACCTCAGCGGTCGGATGCTTGACCACTAATTCTTCAGGTTCGGATATTGCGATGAAGTTAGGCCATACATTATAAACGCCTAACAAGAACTCCCTTCCTCTGAACCCGTTTAGCAACCGTACCCTTGCGTAAGTGTATTTGATAGCACATCCACAAAATTGTTTACTGAATTAGCGTGTCCCTATGGCTTGGATTTTGAAAATGCATGGATGGTCAACAGACGGTCAAGCTCAAAATTGTTGTACCCTCTAGACATTTTGTTGATATAGTGCAAAATTGTAGTGGAGTCGGTCGGGAACCAGACTTACTCAAAGTACAGCTGATTTGTATCACAAATATCCTTAAACATGGACTGCTGTCGTCAATTTCAATTGTGTAATAGAGGCAGCCTTTAATGGCGCTATTCTAGAAGCTGAATACAACAACGAGCAATGCGTAAAGTTTACAGCACACAATCTGCGCCATAACTGATTTCTGGAGCATTACAAAGGAGAAACAGTTGTGGCAATTCCTCCGAATATAGGCAGCGGTGGATGCACGTGCGAAGCTGTAGAACTCCCGAGACCCTCAATACAGCAAGCCAAATTTACAATGCTTTTTTGTTCGTAATAATAGCGAGTGCTATCATTCACAACGGATCACCTATAGTGGACACCACATACAACATGGTTCTTCTCAAATGACCACTTCTTGTCATTGTACAATGAAACAAGAGAATATTCGCGTTGGCATCCCATCTCAAGCCTAGGGTCCGACAAATGAATTCAAGCATTTCAGTTATCATTTCCATTGGTCCAAAGACTGCATGCGCGACTGTCTTATACACCTCCGCGTGGGGCCGTACTCTATTCTACAAATTGTATCCCAACTAAACCAAAATTTCTCTGTTTTTACATACAACAGCTTAGCTTCAGACACGGGCGGCAATGAGAACAAAAATCCTTGCCATAAAAAGTATAACGGCATCCCGCCGCCACGTATTCTCCTTATTGATTTCCACACGTGATGGCGATTTGACGCGGGGCCAAAGTAGTGCAAATTGGGAATAAAATTTTGCCCATAAGATGCACTACCTTATGGCATTCTACCGCTTAGGTGCCGATCTCATCATTTTCCCAGAAAAGAAAACGCAACGCGCCTCTATCAGCTTCTGGTAATTTCACTTTATCCGAGCCGATATGGCCACTAGTACAGTTCTGAAGCGCAACAGTATACTGATCAAGTTGGAAGTGGTATCCGGCTCTTGATACAATTGCTCGTTTAGGGAAACCCAGCTACGTTTTGTGGCATAGTCAAAAACAATTTGTACCTTTCCCTGTTTCCACTGGTTGATAACGGCATGGTGTGCTAAATATCACTTAGGAGAGTAGTGGGGCTGTAACTGATAGGGAGGTACGAGAACGGCGTTAGCCTTTGCGAAATTTGTTCTATCACTGCCAACTATCCAACTCTTAACGATGGATTACTAAGTAAACCTATTTCTAACCTGTTTAATCTGTGTCAAAGGTATTCATAATTTTGCGCGACGTAACCATTCTTGTTTCTATAATGAATGGCTACATCAAAATATCAATCTGCAAGCCATAACAACGCTTTGCTATCGACAGTGCACTGTTGTCTTCCACTGAAAATGTGCAGCTACTCGAACCAACATCTTCAATATCATCGTCCTAAAATGCTTCAACTGCTCGTCTAGTGATAGCTCATTTTGCTGCAGGTAATATATGGACGCGAAAGGTAGGCTGCTTCTATCCACTGGTCCTAACAATACTAATCCGTTAAATGTCTTTGCCGCGAAGTGCTGACACCCGAGCACAGAGGCCCAGTTCAATGTGTTACTGTGCCTCTGAAAAACCAACACCCATCATTACACTAATCAAGGAGTCAACCAGATTCTGAACCCGAAACTCAGACAGCTGTGCTCACTGACCAGCTACTTCAATAACGGTCTACTGTAGTGGACGCAATGGAAAACGGGTTAAGCAATTAGCTCGCTTCACGGCAGCTGCATCACTACTGTCAACGATATCAAACGAAAAACAGCGATTCTGCCTTTAAAAGAGTTAAGATCACACACTCTTTGCATTTTCAACGAATCGTAGTTTCTTTCTGCAAAGTATCACAGTACATCCTCCTGGGGCAAACTAAAGTCGGACCCATTGTGCAGTAAAATATTACGTTTCAACTGAAGATAAGGAGCCATCTAAGGATTTTGGCACAATTCCATGAGAAGCTCTTCCGGATTCACCAAAGATGACATGGCAACTGCCACGCGGTAAAATTCATGATTACTAATGTCTTTGCGGTCAAAAAGCATAACAAAATCAGCTTCATCTTTGACCGACTCATGCGTGCTTTTTTGAATGAGGGGACCCTTTCCCCACCCATTGCGACGACTGCACCTTCGTTTCAATATCGTGACTATAAACCAAAGTCTCATCTTCTAGTTTAATGTTCTAAAGATAGTTTGCCTTGTCCTTGGCATTGATAAGCAGCTACTGGCTGATTTCAGCACGGTTCTGTAACAGATTGTCAATCAATAAAGGCGACAAGAATTTTGCAATTACAAGTTGCATAAGTTTTTCACTCAAACTTTGCTGTTAGGAAAGCTGAGCCATTTACTCGATTCTTTCCAAGATATCTTGATAAACAACAGGGTTCTAAAGGGTTGATTTAGGGAAACATTACCCGGTTTCTTAAGAGTGCTAGCCGTTTAAAACCCGGTAATTGTCACGTAATCATTCTTCTCCCAGTGCTTTCAAAGTTTAGCTAGTCGACCATCGCGTATCTATTAATGGACTAACAAGATAGTTAATATTTCAGAACATCAGAAACAGGGGTTTTGTCAACTCCAGTCATGTACCACCAACCCAATGATTTCAGTGTTAGAACGAAGTAGCAGATGCTGGGACCGGAAAGGATGTCATCTACCTCGATTTTTCTAAGCGATCGACTGCCTTTATTGCAGCATCCCTTTTCATAAGCTGTAAATATATGATATCAGGAACCCAATAACTAGACAGATCAGAAAATATTTTTTCATAAGTAGCTTCAAGTTTGAATACGCGGCACATTTTCTGATCTAATGATGTGGACTGCCATGTTCCACAAGGATCAGTTTTGGAGCCGTCCTTATTCTTGATCTTCCTCAGCAAAAATTTTATCGTCATAAATTCTGTTTGCCTCTGTCTTCCTGATGCCATCGAGATGTGGCGCGCAATCGGCAATCAAGGAGTTCACTAGCTGCTGCGAGCACACATAGACCGTGCATCTGAATGATCATAAGTACATCTAATTCCGTTCAACCCGGGAAAGCGTCAAAATATACATTTACGCTGCTAGTCGACTAACGAGTATGAGCTTTGTTGTCGCGACTTGAGGAACATTTCACAAAAGCGGCACCCTTAGGGTGGAGATGCACGACAACCTCGGCTGTTTGGAACAGTCATTAAAGATGTCCAGAACCGCGAACTAACCATTTGGTCTTTTATGAAGTACTTTCGGGTGGTTTGACCTGAACTTAATGTTTGAAATATCCAACGCACATCGGTGGCTACTTGTAGAGAACACAAAAACGGTCTGGTAACTCTACTAAAATGCGAGTGGGTTGCACCGGAGATCCTAATGCAAAGGCCAAATAAATTGTGTTGAGATTGTTTCACCTACCATACAACCTATTACATAAATCCACAGCATGGTACAACGGAAGTTATCGCGTCTTTGTAGCGACCTCTTTCTGACGTACCATAAGTTAAATAACCTCTTAAATCCTAGCCAAAATACAAAATTTAATGGTCAGCAGGTGAACCTGGTCACCAATACAGTGGACTGAAATGTCGCAGGAACTGCTTTACTCTACAAAGTGTCAACCATGGAACTTCTTTTCGACTTTTATCATTTCTGCGCCTACGCTACCTGTTGTTAAAAAAGGCTTGACGATACATTACGCCATCCGCATCAGTTGACTTGAAATGCGTTCGTTTATTAACGACAAGATGCAGCAATGCAGTGTGCTCACTAACCTCACGAAATCGGGATAAATGGATTTACTTCATGTTAGCTTGGATATTATAGTGAGTCCAGAGATGCGCGTTTCGATTTTATGTCACTTATTTTGGACGTATTCATTTCACACAAACCATCCCACGGGACCTGTCAAGCGCTGGATTTTTACTCATATAATACAACTGTCATATTTTTTCCGCTTTCTTAAGTTCAAGATCCACATTCTTACGATCAAATAACATATTTCTTCGCCATTTTAATCCACAGGTCTTTGGATTGGTTTCACCGTTGGGACTGTTTCACAGGCGATCGTTTACTGTGCTATCTGTAGCTGCATTGATTGGAAGAAACAAGTGAAATTGGTAATTTGCTTCCAATATATATTGACTTAACTTATAATCGATCGTTAGGGTTCAAAATGCTTGTAGGTAATTATTAACAGTAGGATTGGATCCACAGACATAAACAATGATTTAAAAGCTCTTCCCTACTTAACCATTTCGTAGCTACCGGTTTTCAATGGAATTTGGCTTATGAGATTTCAAAGGAAACGCATCAATCGAACTTTACAGAAAAACGAACAGAACGAACGTTTTGGCAGTACTGTAACTTAGATTTTATTGCAAATAATTTCAAACTATCACCAAGATTGACGTTCCGGAATGGATGGTTAGAAGGTAGCATTAAACACTTATTTTATAATTATTTCCGGAGAAACCTCTAGCACAATTGGTTTGGAATTCGGACAGCTCGAGTTGACCATGTAACTGCGCAGTTCACCAAGCTTGGCAATTTGGTTGCAAAAGTCTCGTCACCAATCGAGTTGACATCATCAGAGCAGACTTGGACGTAGATTGGTCGCAGAAGCTCGCAGCTGGCAGTAACCTGTAGAATGGATGCCACGAGTTACTGCGGCAGTCCTTATAATCTATGCCGGCGACATTAGATGTGTTCATCCTGATTGGCTATACGTCGAGGTATTTAATGGGGTCGATCGATTCTGGTTGGCTGTAGATACAATGTTCGAAGGTGCTGAAATCCTCGCAGTTCCCTTGTCTTCCTCCGATTGGCGGTTCATTGTTGATCTCAATAGGATTATGTAGTTCTGGTTGGCCGCAAGTATAGTGTTGAGATCCACGCAGTTCCTTTTTCTTCTTCCGTTCGTTACATCCTGATTGGCGGTTCATGTTTGAGCTCATTGGGGTAGATATATGCGAAGTGGCCGCAGGTATAATGGTGAAGTCCATGCACTTCCTTTGAATTTTTGCCTTCGGTTCTTCCCGATATGTGGGTTACCTTTGTGCTCAGTGGGGTAGGTTTATTCTGACTGGATACAGGTGTAGGGTACTGACGTTTTGAAATCCTCGCAGTGATTTTCTTCCTCAGGCCCTTCGTTCTGGATGGCAGTTCATCGGTGAGCTCGCCGATGAACACCACACCTGCATCCAGTCAGAATCAGCCAATTCCACTGAGATCAACGATGAAATGCCAATCAAGATTAAGCAAACGGAAGAAGACGAAGAAACTGTGTGGATCTCAATACTATACTTGTAGCCAATCGGAATCAATCAACCTTATTAACCTCCTCAATGAACCGAAAATCGGAGGAACACAAAGTAACTGCGAGGATTTCAACCCATCTGCACGCTATAGCTACAGCCAATCAGAATCAATCCACCCGATTTTATACCTCGATATACAGCCAATCAGGATGAACAGCACCTAATGTCGCCGGCAAATTTATACGGATTGGCGCAGTATCCCGTGGCATCCATTCCACGGATTACTTCCTGCTACTAGTTTCTGCAAACAAGCTGGGTCCAAGCCCGCCTATATTGCTACCAACTTGCTAAGTTCCACGAACAACTAAGAAATTAAAGCCTAGCTTTTAACGCTGGTTTTGTATTCTTCTATTCGCTGCTTCGCATAGGCACGCGAGAGGACGCGAGATGTTCGCTTGGCAATTAAGGATGAAACAACGGTAGATGACTACATTTCAGCGAACTCCATGTCGGATCACCATGATGAGAGTAAGTTGAATCTTTTACTTCAAAAGATTGACTAACGACACTGGGAATGAATTTATAGCGCGTCGGTCTTGCGCTATCTATCAGATTCACAGCTAAACAGTCAAACATAAACAGAATAGGTTTTTTGAGAGGTGGCTAAAGTAGCTAAGGCTTAAAAGTAAGGCAAAGAAGGGAGCTAGCTGGGAAACCTGAAAACGGGCGCTTAGTGCAAGCTTGGGCGAGAGTCTCAAATCGCGTCCCTTTGGTCGTAGGGCATATACGTGTGTTTTCCGTGTGACTCATCCAAATAGGCGCAACCTTCAAACAAACTAACTGCTTAATTCCCAATATGTAAAATAAAAACAAGTTTAAAATAATTTGTATTAACTTACACAGTCAAAAGGGGAATTGCCAAGTCACTACAAGCTATGTCCGGACTTAATGTTGTGGTTAGAGTTCAGTAAACATTCAGTGGTGAGGTATCACCCATTGTGTTAAACCGCTTTTTTGTGCGTTCTTTGATAAATCTATGAAGCATGCATCCCTAAATAACATCAAGGATTTGGTTTAACACTTCAGCTTCCATCACTTGTTACTCGCGCAAAAGTAGAAAACATAAGGTTGCCTGAAGTTTATCTGTCTCACAGGCCATCTCAGTAACCCAATTAAACGATATTACCTCTAACCTGAATCGCTATCTAGGCTAAACTCGTGAGTCACGTTTAGCTTGCAATTATTCTATTAATGTGTACGGTGTTTCAGTGTTGATGCTTCCAACACTGGCAGTCCAAATGCGGAGTTGCTCTTGTTTGGACTCATGAGGTAGAGAGCCATAGCTATAGTGTCATTGTTGGAAGCAGCATTACTGATATCACTGTATTACGGACATGGTCCTAGTTATTGGAATGAACAAGCTTTACTTCAAAGGATACCATTGTCTCAATTGACACTGCGTGGTGCAATTTAAGACACACGATGGGTACTCCAAACCTCTAACTCTAGACGGCTAATAAGCATTTTTACTGGCTCTATTGGTTTTCAATTGTTAAAATTAAAAAAAATGTTAAAATTGTTACTACAATATTGTGTAGTATATATCAGGCGAGTAGTAATAATCAGTGGGTTAGACCCATAACTCCTCATCCAAACTTGCACCTCACATAATAGAATACGGACATAGCCAACGTAACCACTGGTCGCCCGTCGTATGGACGGCATAAAAGCTAAGCAGGCTTGCTGACGGTGGATAAAGTGCTCTTCCACGTTTACACGTCTGACGTGTTTGATTCGATTACAAGCTTAGGCTTTTGTTACCTATTAGTGTAGTTTGCGCACTCTCCGTTTTTCCAGTATCTGCTGTTGACATTCAGGTCGGCAAAGAAGAGTGAAACTAGCAGACCAGGGCTTGAAACTTGAACACACGAAGCACATGAAGCTATTTCGGTCAATTATTATTAAGCTATATCTAAAATGTTGTCGAACGCCCAAAGTTTCAAACAGACATTATCTATCATCTCGCAAATGCTGTGTCATGGGTCTGAGAATCATGCGGACATAATATTAGTACACTCACAATGGCATTAGAATACGGGCTACGTAATGCAGAACCGCCATGTTACATCCTCCCTCTTCCTTTTGCACTTTAATTGTAAGTTATGCTTAGGTAGTTGTGCTTAGGTAAACAGATGTATCCGTCTTAAATATTAAGGCATTTAACATAGTTACCGGTTGTTTATCACGACTCACGCTGTTCTGCAAATGTACACGCAGATATGTGCTCAACCATCGGTTTGTCAAATCAGTCGACCGAAAAAGAAACACTATCGAAGATCGTCAGAAAATCACCAATTCGATTCCGGATACTATTTGGATTCATCCTGATTGTCTTGTTAGTGACAAGTGTTTGCCTCCGACAATTCCTCCCTTGGTCCGACTACTTCGGGTGCTATTGTGTCTTCCCCAACGACACATTTATCCGCTTCCCCAGCCGTATTTCTGTGCCAACAAACTGTTCCCTAGTCGTCCCAGGAACTTCACCTTGAGCAATTGTGTCTTGGCCAAAGTTGTTCATAATCTCATAAATTCGATGAAACTGTTTAAGTCCCCACATCATGCAAACACTGTTTAGGTTCAATACAAAATTAAGTTGTTTTGTTTAATGCATTTTTCCTCTGTCACAAGGCAGATTCTCCAACCACTAGTTCACAGGCCGTCTTTCAGTAAGACCTAAATTCGTGCACTCCCTCGTTGTCCAGTGTGCGATCACTTTACAACAACAAGTCTACAACTTTCACAACAACTGTACAACTTTCACTCCCATCTATTGTTTCTCTGCTGTTGCCTGGAGTAGAATATCCTGAAGTTGGAAGCAAGCATACGACAGGACTTCTAAATTTTCACTTTCCGATTGGTGAATGAAGAGTGCTACGTAGCCGCATGTATTACGTTAAATAGGATGCTTGATGGTGAAACACTTTATATCTTCATGTTTTCTCTTGGAAGCGGTAATGCTTGGAGAGCTGGAACAGACTACACTGTCTATCATTTGGTGTGTGGTAGCAGTTAGTGTATGCCGAATTTTGAACAGTCTTCACAACATCAACTGAGCTAAGACTCTTAGGGGTAATTAACTCGTATAATATTAAGATACTACGTTGTATGGCCCTCCAAAGCTCAGCTGTAAATGAAGATTTTACTGAAGCCTGAAAAGTACGGAAAGGACCTCCAGATAATAGATACAAATAAATTATTGTGATTGATCTATGTTCACATTACGACACAAAACGAGATTATCTATTAAGGAAACTTGTGAAAAGTGCGCTCCCTCATCCATCAGGTAGAAAATTTCTGTATATCCTAACCTGTGAAACGTTTAAGTTAATGATTCCTTTGCTGTGTTTACCACTATCTATTACCGTAACCCTCTCTTTGTTTCAATCCAAAATTGACCTGTTCTGGCTCGCAATTTTGCCTCACTGACCCAATATCAACTCTGTTCTGTGATCACTTGCACTATAATGATTTGTCACGCCACATTAAAACATTTACACGACAATCTAAGCAAGCAATCTCTCCATACTTGATAACGCCCTTAGTATTTGTGATGTGCTCTGTCGCTTCAGTCTCTATTCTTTGGCGTCGTTTGAACACAGAGGTGTAGCTCATGTTTTATTATATTGACATGCATGCAAGTGCATTGTTGGTGACCATCCAATATTGCAAATCCGATGGGGTGTAGGTATTGTTGGAAACCATTTTATTCGTGCACCTTCAATGTTTCCGTTCCCCATTTTCTATGTACCATTAATCACTTACGATTCCAGGTCATCAGTGTGCATTGCAAGCAGGCCACAAAGCCCAAGAAAGTGGGCAGCACTCTTTTGATTTCTAAACGACATTAATTGCAAAGCGCTAATTTTATATATGTGTACCTTGAAGCTCTATCAGTTGAAGATTTAGAATGGACTGAATTTTGTTGATTCGGTGGCACAAATTATTGACTTAGTTTGTATGTTGTGTTTCAAACTGTTGTCAAAAGTTCCGATTTACAAATCCGGTTTTGTTTTGTTAATTCCGATGGAAACGCATTCGATCAAGGCTTCTAAACGCTCAACCGCTTACAATTCCGCATTGTGTGTGCATAATTATCCGAGACAGTTCACCACCATATCCAGACCAACTCAATAATTGGACCGCGTATTTCCCTATTTGAACGTTCAGCGTGTAAAAATAACCGATATTTTCTTCTGTATTTTGAGCATATCTCTAAGTTGGCCACCTCGAAGCGGCCCCTTGAGTGGTCACCTAACAGAGGTGCTACTGACATAATTTTCCGCAAAGCAGTGCTGTCTAATTCAAGGAATGTAGCAATACCGACGTTTTGAAGAGAAATTTAAACTGCTTAGTTGTTTAGGATCATTTAAGAAGTCAGAATAATAGGCATCACTCCCAGATCATTATCGACGGTTTCAGTCCAACATGGCTGAGCAAGTAGCAGATTTGTGGGGCAACGCAGGTTGTGGGAGAACCTATTTTGTTCTGGTGCAGTGATTTGCATTTCTCCAAACTATCCGTGACAACTTACGCCATAATGATCTCTCTGCTTTCGAAAATTACTAAAAGGGGAATTATGAGGATGTAGTTAACCGGATCTGGAAGATTCACCTTCGTTAATAAGAACGACTGTTCTTTGATTCCACATTCTGGAAACAGGCATCGTGTTAAGGCAGTGTTGGAAGTACTGAGATATTGGTTCGGCAAAATGCGTGGTAGCCAATTTCAGGACCTTTCAGTGGATACTATCTGCACTAAGGCAGATACACGGGTGCAGTGAGAATAGCCGCATCAGAAAAGAAGTCAGTTCAGTCAAATTTATGACTTCCAACTTGTGTGAAGTCAAAGGTATGGAACAATTTTGTTTGACTATTGATATAAAATGAAATAGCCCAGGTGCCATACTACAAAAGATATGTCGGTGATATCTTGGCTTTCTGTTCGTCGGAGCAGCAGCTCACACATTTGGTAGAACAGCTCAATGGTGCTCATGCTAAGTTACGGGTTACAAGTGAAGTAGAACAAAACAATTATCTACCATACGTGGACTTACTCATAACTCGCAGGGAGGATGGATTGATTAAGAGGTCAATTTACCGAAAATCGACTTGGTCCGGTCAGTACCTGCACTTACCAGCTTCACACCAGTGCGGTACAAACGGACACTTGTGAAGACTCTAGTTAGTCGTGCCAGACGAATTTGTTCGGCCGACTGTCTGGACGATGAGCTAGTGTTAATTACAGCAACACTAATGGCGAATGGCTACCCTCGAAGATTTATCGAGAAACACAGCCAACCGCGAGGACCAAAGGACTTGGTGCACACGACAGCCAAGAAGAAAGTGTATATCGAGTTACCTTTCAAAGGTGACTTAACCACGCTGAAGACAACTAAGCGTATAATTTCGGCTACACAAGGAAGTTACTATGCTGCACAAGTTGTCGTTATCAACCGAACCCGAAATTTGCCCAAACCTCCAACGAAGGAAGCTCAGCCTATTGCTGCCAACTCACACTGTGTATACCAATTTGTATGTGACTGCGGAAAATGTTACATAGGCAGAACCAATAGAACGCTGACTTCCCGAATAAAGGAACATGTGCCAAGATGGGTTCAACATGAAGTTGCTCAGATTGCCTACCCTTCTCAGATTCCATGATCGCGCAGACCGCCGGCTTCCTCGATAGACAAACACCTATTAGACTCGGGTCACCAATTAGAGCTGGGCCCAGCGTTTAAAGTTGTGTTACGTCGCCCTAATCCCCGCTTCCTTCGGTTTGCTAAGGCTGTCGCAATAAGCCGGATTAAGCCAGCGTTGTGTGTTCAGAAACAATTATTTGTCAGCCTAAAGCTGCCTTGGACGTAGGTGTGAACTTCCGTCATTCATTTTGCACCTTAAGCTTGTCTGATTGCACCCACTGTTAGCTATATCTAGGCTTATCGGTTATTGTTAATGGTACTGAGGAGACAATACGAAATGCATGCATCTACCAGCCTTCGTCTTCTTTCCGTGCTTTTCAAATTGTTGAAGGGAACTGATTGCTTTAAATAAAATGATTAATTTATTCTGTCGGTTGGTAAAGGAAGAAATGGCAAATTTGAACAGAAAAATTTGGACAAGTTAAATGCCCAGGAGTGCAAAGTACAGCAGGGACACACTATGATATTTTCCCATCAATTTCAACCTTAATGCATTCTCTCTACTAGCTGACCCTTTAGCTTATATTCGTAATGCAAAAAATTAATCCGATACCCATCTAAATATAATCTAGCTCGCAGTGAGTAGTCGGCCGTAACTGACCAATAACGTATCGATGCAAATACATCAGCTGTGTACGCGTGTAGCATGAAGGTGACGACGAGGCGCCCAGACCATTGCAAAAACCTGTATGTGTGGTGCCGTGCTGTGTAGGCTGTTTGAACGCGCTTTGCGAGTATGTATAGTCGCATATGATACACCTAGGCAGCACAGGCGGACCACAATGAAGACATTTGTACACCGTTCAGCAGACACGCCCGTGGTCCAATAACTTGGCAAAGCCGAGAATGAACGTTGGAGGCAAGGAATGGTCGCATTACTCGTGCATGGCGGGAGTTGCGGGTTCTGGTCCATGCACGTGAGAGCTGTAGGTACCGCGGACACAAATATTACGCATGTTACAAACAAACAACGCAAGCATCGAATGGAGTGTGTTCACTGTATACCTTGTACGAACTACCGTTTCCATTGTGCTCAGAAGCGGTGTAAGAAAGCAGTGCTACCAATAGCGTACATTTCAATTTCCAACTCCTTTGTTAAACCCAAGGATGAACCGCAGCAATGCTAATTCTTTACTTCTAGTGGGTTTGATCAGAAACCTCTATCTCTGTTCCCCAACACGAACAGTCTCATTGTGCTTATGGTACACACTGGTTGGATGGTACATACAGAAATGTCATACCTTTACCCAAGTAATATTATAGATCTAATGTTAAAACTCGTATTCGTATACTTTGCTTTACGGAAAATCCGGTAAATGTCCCGCAAAGCTTGTGTGGAATCTTTTCTTGGCGACAAACATAATTTTCAAGATGGTGCAGATTGAGTGTAGAACAGAAGGCAGTGTTTCTTACATAAATGAGGAGTTTGTAGCGACACAAAGTCGTTTTCGCGCACCATTCGGTACAGATGGGTCCTATGTAAAAAGACTGATCACAGATTGTATCGTCCGTTTGAGAGAACTGGCTTTGTGGTACAGATGTATCGATGGCTGAGACCAAGTGAACGTAACCCTGCAAACATGGAAGCGATTATCTTCGCTTTGACTCGAAGTCCTTTCAAAACAACAAGGAGGACTGCCGCTGAGTTAGGAATATCTCGTCGGTCTATACAAAGGATTCTGCGTTCTGATTTTTAGTCGATCCCTTACAATATAACATTTTTCCACAAATCAGCAGCAGAGGACAAGCAAAGAAGACATCATTTTGCTTCATGGCTAGTGCAATATG